AAATGAACTGTGGAAACAATCTTTTAGTTTGTGTTGGCTTTATAGGAAAATTAGCCACCAACAACAGTTCAAGGTTTAAAATAAAGATAGACGATGCAGTAGGAATAATGGGAAATAAAGGAATCAAATTAATGAACCTTTTAAAAATAAATTCAGAAGAATATGCAGGAAGAGAATAGAATTTAGAAAAATTCTGTAAAAAAGAAGTATTACGACCAAACGACCACCTCACATACACTAATAATAAAGGAGAGACATCAATTAGATTCACTGATTATAATATACAGATCAAAACGAAATAGAAGAAGATTTGAAAGATAATGAATCAACCATTAATATGGAAAGTATGAATATTCAAAATATAAATGAAGAAGACTACGAAGTAGATTTATCGATAGCAAAGGCTAAAAAAGTACATCAAGAAAATAAAACAACTTTGTTTAAATGTAAAGGTTGTAAATTAGGAAAAATAGATATATTTACAGTAGAAAAACACTTTAAAGAATGCCATTTTAGAATGGACAATTATGGTATAGACAAAAGGAACGAAAAGAAGAAGCCCAAGAAGAAAGCGATGACGAAACAACACGCATTCTAAAAGAATTCATGGAAACCGCTTCTTCTAGTTCAAGTCCCTTCTAGAAGACAACCCCCATAACGCCAGTAGAATATACTATAGGTAATTTACCACGTCACAAGGTATATAGGCAAGACCCGGCAACAGAACCAGAAATGGTGAGACCAATAGGAATAAGAATGCCAATAGAAGCCCCTATCAAACTTCAAGACGGAGGAGATAGAGGAAAAATATTAAATATAGCAGCTCATGACCCTCAATTATGGAACTCAGTAATTGACATATGGAAAGGAATAGTGGTGGCAGATTACATACATCATTATAGTGAAGCATATATATATAATTTAACTACACATCAACAGAAGTTTAATTTAATAAATTTAATTTATCGATCAAGTCAATTTTATAAATTTAATTATATAACTCCTAATTATATAAATTTAATTTATTGATCAACAAAAGTTTATCAATATCAAAAAATAAAATAAATATATATATATATATATATATATATATATATATATATATATATATATATATAATATATATACATATATATATAATTTAACTACACATCATCATAAGTTTAATTTAATAAATTTAATTTATCGATCAAGGTCCTTTTAGAAATTTAAATTATATAACTCCTAATTATATAAATTTAATTTTATTGATCAACAAAAGTTTATCATTATCAAATTTAATATATAAATCTCCTTGAATTGATCCTCGGTATTTCTTTAATTGATAATGTATTTCATATCTAAACCACTAGTATATAAGACTTGATTTGTTAAACTACTCGAGGAGTATATAATTAATCAACATATTTCATACTCCGATAAGATATCGTTTACATGTCATCATAATTAGGAGGTGATCACTACACTTAACATCCATTCAATTAGATCGAACGTATATAATAATACTATCTCGCATTTCATACTCGAATGAATTATATGTTAGCTCTTCACCTCTACATCATGACATGAGATATTAAGTTCATGATTAGACGACGGACTGATAGAATTTGTACATTACTCTAGAAATATAAGTATAAGTATCTCCTAATTCATATCAACGTAGTTTCATACTCTAAATATGGATTATAGATATTTTTTTATTTATTCCACGAATTCTAACTTTTTATTTATAAAAGTATACAAAATTGTTACACTTTTTGAACAATTAATTGTAGGTGTAAAATGAAATTTAGTATTATGCACAATAGCAAAATTATGAGTATTAATAGGAATATTTTAAACAAACCGACCTCCGGATGTCGCTTTTATTGAAAGTAATTAGATTTAATAAAAAATACCAACGTCATGAGGTCGGTATCACATTAAATTTTAAGATAAATAAAGGTAATCATGTTAATTAAATAATATTGACATCGGGAGGTTGGTATTTTATATTAAATTATTTTTTAACTTGAATAAAACCGTCATTCGGAGGACAATTTATTTAAAGTTAATTGAAAATATTAATTTATTACATAACACAAAATCGTCCTCTGGAAGATGATTTAAATAAAATTAAATCAAAATAGAAAATAATACCGACATCAAGAGGTCGATTTTTATTGTAATTCATTTTCTGGGAAAAATTCCGACCTCTTGAGGTCGGAATTTGGTTTACCCGCAAACCGCAAACCGACCTCCGGATATCACTTTTAAAAGTAATTAGATGAAATAAAAATACCGATCTCCGGATGTCGCTTTAATTAATAGTAGAAATAAAAATACCGACCTCATGAGGTCGGTATTTTATTTACTTACTCCCTCCGCTTCAAAAAGAATGGTCTGGTTTGACTTCGCACGGAGTTTAAGAAATTAAAGAAGACTTTTGAATCTTGTGGTCCTAAATTAAAGTTATGTCAAATGTACAAAATTGCCCTTAATCTTGTGGTCTTAAACATGCCACGTGGAAAGCTAAAAGTAAAATGTTACCAAAAAAGAAAAGAGGTCATTTTTTTTTAAACTGACTAAAAAGAAAATGAGGTCATTCTTTGTGAAATGGAGGAGTACTATTTAATTTTTACCGACATTCGGAAGTCGGTATTATGAAATATTTAATTGAGAAAAAATTCCGACCTCAGGAGGTCGGAATTTTTAATGAATTACAATAAAAACCGACCGCTTGATGTCGGTATTATTTTCTCAATTAAATATAAAAAATACCGACCTCATGAGGTCGGTATTTTATATTAATTTATTTTTACTATTTAATTTTACCGACATACGGAAGTCGGTATTATAATTTTTTTAGTTTTTTATTTTACACAAAACCTATTGAGAAAAAATAATTTAATACCGACATCAAGAGGTCGGTTTTTATTGTAATTCATTTTTTCCGGGAAAAAATCCAATCTCTAGAGGTCGGAATTTGTTTTTCCCGCTTTCCACAAACCGACCTCCAGATGTCGCTTTTTAAAGTAAGTAGATGAAATAAAAATACCGACCTCCGGATGTCGCTTTAATTAATAGTAATTAGATGAAATAAAAATACCGACCTCATGAGGTCGGTATTTTAATTACATACTACCGACATTCGGAAGTCAGTATTATAAAATATTTAATTGAGAAAAAATTCCGACCTCAGGAGGTCGGAATTTTTAATGAATTACAATAAAAACCGACCTCTTGATGTCGGTATTATTTTCTCAATTAAATATAAAAAATACCAACCTCACGAGGTTGGTATTTTTATTGTAATTCATTTTTTTCGGGAAAAATTCCGACTTCCAGAGGTCGGAATTTGGTTTTCCCTCTTTATTTTGCATAAAAACCGACTACTTGTAAATACCGACCTCCATTTGAGGTCGAAAATTTGTAGGTCGGTATTCACTGTTTTTTTAGTAGTGCTCAAAGTGCCTTAAACAAAGCCATTTGAATACAAAAACAATAATTGCTATTATAAGAAAATTCAATGATAGTTAGTTCATCATCCTAATTACCTTTAAAGTCAATGACACAAGCTCTCAACATATCCTCAATAGTCATAATTGTGCGCTTTGTTTGACCATCGATGTAAAATCTCAAATTTGAAAAAGAAGGAAAATAATTTTTTTTAGGTTGCAGGCTGTGTCTACGGTTTCCACCTACGGACCATAGTAGCTTTTACAAGCCGTAGATGGCAACCGTAGGAAGGGGAAATAATTTTCTAAATATCAAGTCTCAGTACTTCTTTGAATGCTCACCAGTATGGTCCGTCAACTGATCTACGAGTCGTAGCTAGGTCTCGTAGGTAGCTTTCAGGCATAGTAAAATTTTAAGGCCAAAGGTTGGTACGGTTGATGTCTACGGTTCGTAGATGGGTCTACAAGTTGTAGATTGTGTTCGTCAAAATTGGGTAAGTTTTATGGTCTAGTACTTGGTCTACGATTGACTAGTACAGATCGTTATTTATTAATTTCTTTCTTTTATTTTTGTTCTATTTTTTTTTTCATTTTAATGTATTTTTTATTTTTATTAATTTAAATTGTTTTGATTTATTAATCTAATATTTTTTAATTTTTTTTTATATCATTTATATATCATTTCCTTCTTATTCTCAACCTTTACTTCATGTGATTCCATGCAATTTTTTGTATCTTCTAAAAAATTCATTAGTATAATTTTGTTAGTATTCTAATTTTTAAATTAAAGTAGAATTCATTGTTGAATAAAGTTATGAACTTACGCTTTCCTTTTCTTTTAAATTATATTTATGTATTTTATGTTGAAATGTGGCATAAGAGTATTATGTTAAATTTTTTGTTTTGAATTTAGAACTTATGCTATATTTTCAATCTCATTTGTTTTAGGAGTATTGACTCGATATTTTACATTATAAGCTAATTTTTAAGTTAGACTTGATAGATTCTTTTTGTCAAATGTTTTATGATTTTATGATATTATATTTATAATATTAATCTTTTGTCAAACATGCATTTCATGATATTCATAGAAATAATGTACTTTTAGTTTTTATGAGTAATTTAATTAAAATATACTAAATTGAAAAATATAAATCAATTTTTTCTTGTAATATTAGTTAAAAACATATGTTTATTAATTAATATATTTTCAAGAGACAATATATATCTTAAATATTTAACTTAATATCATTTATAAAGATCCTTATTTGTCTGATATAATTTTTTAATTTTAAATAATTAAATTTTATTTTTAAAATTCAATATAACCTTATGATTACACTTGTGCAACCAAACAGTATACTTGTAATTACATTATGACAAACAAACAAACGGGTCAATATAATTACTAGATTGTATAATTACTAGACTGATAATTAGTACCCTAGTAATTACACCAATTCCAATTCTCCGGCTTTCCAAACATAGCCTAAATAATGTTGTTTTGTTCTAAATTGGACACTTAGCTTGTACGGCAAAATGGGGTGACTCGAAAGGGAAGTCTTATTTTATTCCTTAATCATCAATCGAAAGCACTCTGAAAATGAAACAACACATGGCATAAATTCATGGTTGTTGCTGTTTTGATGAGTGAAATAGCGATGGGTTTCTGTTGGTCATCTTTACTTTTAAGTCTTGTTGTTGTTGTAGTTCATATTTGTGATTTGGGTTATGCAGATTCATATGTTTCTGCAATTGGCGACCCTGGAATGAAAAACCCAAATTCAAGATTTGCATTTGAAGCTTGGAATTTCTGCAATGAAGTTGGAAGTGAGGCTCCCCGTATGGGCAGCCCCAGGCTTGCTGACTGTGCTGATCTTCACTGTTCTACTTCTCTCACAGGTTTTACACTAGTTATTTTATTGTTAGTTATATTGCACAACTGATAACAGAAACATAAAAAAGTTATAATTCAATTCAATTTTGAAATAAGGTAGTTTGCAAAATTTAATAATTTACTGAGATCCCAAAATCAATAACTTTGAAACAAAAAAGTGAAGCATAAATTAATTGGAATAAACTTGCATTTGGGAAATTGTAGAATTATTAATCTTGATATTATTTTTCATTTAGTGCCTAAGCGAGTTGATTCAAGCATGTTGATGTCGATTCATATGGTATTAAAGAACTCCTAATCATGATGTTGTCGTGGTGGAGAATGGTAATATTAACATGTATAAATATCATACGAGTCTGCAATTGATTGAAAAAGATATTGGAAAGACAAAATACCCATTAAAAAAGATGTTGAAAGGAAAAATCTTGAATTTGTAGTCTACTCTGGAAAGATTTATTCAGCACAACACCATGAACTTGTATGAGGTTGATGTTGTGTTATGTTATGAAGTTGGTTCTTGGTTTACTAGTTTGATAGCATGAATGATACATAAGTTGATACGAAAGTTGGTTTAATTATATTTTCTGATTTAGTAGTTTATACATAATAGATAGAGTTGAGGGGCTTTTGGAGTTGACACTGAACACATGGTATTTCTTTAATATCAAGACTACAACAATTGACATAACTGAATCCTGATCTTTAACAGTTTGTTTGTTGCACCCTGAGAGCTACAACTGTGAGTTTCTTCATCATTGTGTTTCGAGTTACTGTGGGAATTTCCAAAACTTGTCAAGGTTACTACTGAGTTGGCTGAAAGATTGGTGAATTTATGGGTTATTCTAGCTTGATGTGTCTAGAGCTAGATGGAGAAGGAGGAAATAAAATTTTAACCATTGGATCTGTAATTTATAGGAAGATGGAAAATTTATTCCTGCGCATATCTGACTAAAAGACTGCAGGAGCCATGAGGAGCGATCCAGTGCCACAAATTATGGAGGAAATACAATTCAATAATTGAATTTCTCTGTTGTGGTGGCATTTTGTAGTAAAACAGATTTTGATACTATTTAACCAAATTGGGATGAGCATTTTGCTGCAATTTCAATTGTCATACTTCAGACTGATCAAAAAAGAAGTTGTGACTCATCAGAGTTCAAGAAGCTTTCATACTTCTCTAAGCTGTTACTAATTGGCATAAGTCATAACTCCATCGTTGCTGTCAGTTGACTGCCATTGTGGTTGAAAGGAACCTGAACCTGATTTTGTTTCCCTTATCCACTAACCATCATTATGACTATGTTCAACGTTAACTGTCGAATTTTCCTTTGAAGCTCTATCCTTCTCTGATTCCTTTTATTTTCCCTTTTCTAAATGTAGTTGTTTGGTTATACAATTTGATTCCCAAGGTGATGAAAAAGCAGAAAGATTTGATAGGATATTGTTTGAATTTTGATGAACTCAATTACATGAATCATAGACATAATGCCTTGAGTAAATGTTAGCATTGAACAACTTTATGATCTGCCCACCTCTTATTGGTTTACTTTTATGGTGAGGTCACCAAGATATTCCGGGCGGTCCGCTTCCTCGAAAACGGAGCACTTGTAAAGTACACCACAAAGTGACGGAAGTAGACAATAGATTAGGAGTTGGAGATAAAATTCCAGATGGGAGCCATAATGCTGATATGAATCCTGATCTTTATGCTGTGGAAAAGGAGTGTTACCTTGGTTCACTTTGTGAAGTGCATGATTCTGGTGACCCATGGTATTATTGGATGATAATGCTTAAAAATGGAAATTTTGACAAGACGACGACTCTTTGTCCTGAAAATGGTAGGAAAGTTTCTAAGATAGTGACTGGTAGAACTTTTCCATGTTTTGGTGAGGGCTGCATGAATCAGCCACTTGTCTACCATAACTACTCAAGGATAGTCGATAGGGAGCATTCATCCTTGATCGGAGGCTTCTATGGAACATATGACCTTGATGCCAATTTAACTGCCGGTGTAGATGGAAAATCTTTTTTCTCAGTTTCATGGCGGAAGAATTTAAGCACAGGTAGTTGGATTATCTCAAATAAATTGACGACATCATCCAAGTATCCATGGCTTATGTTGTATCTAAGATCAGATGCAGCAAAAGGGTTTAATGGAGGATATCACTACAGTGGCCGTGGAATTATGAAAAAGGTTTGTGACAACAACTTTGTTCCCTATGAAAGCTCTTACTCAATAAATGTGCAAATTTATTCATATAAAAAATATAACGTGCTAAATTTACTAAATAAAGGAACTGAATATTCCTGTTGTTCACCCTCGAGATAAAGAATTACATCTTTTCTTCCCTATTTTTCTTGGTTGGTCCTATTTACCTCTTGGATATGAAAATAGTGACATCATTTCATTTTTTTGATGAATAAATGTAGGATTTTACTGGTATAAAAAGTTGGAACTAAGGCCACTAGGGCTTTGGTGTGCGGTTAGGTGCACATCATGGGTTTGAATCTTTCCTCCACTAACAAAAACCCTGGTATCTAAATAGAGAAGTGTGTTTGTGTGTGTGTGTGTGTGTGGTGGTGATGGGGGGGGGGGGAGTCCATTATCCAATGAAATTTGAACCATGCGCCACTAGTAAATGGGGATTTCTTGGTTTTCAAAAAAAAAAATTAAAAAGATTGTGAACCAAGTGTATTATGTATATAGTGATTTTGTTTCATCATCATGAATGATTCTTGTAGACAGGGTACCAGAGTCTCATGCTGTGATGTTTTATCACTTTCAGATAGAATAAGAGCTGTGAGTTAATATTTAAGCAATTTCTGCTTTCTTTTCCCTTGCAGCTTCCGGAGTCACCAAATTTCAAGGTGAAGTTGACACTTGAAGTTATACAAGGAGGAGGCTCGAATAGCCAGTTTTATCTTCTCGACATAGGAAGCTGCTGGAAAAATAGTGGAGAGCCATGTGATGGAGATGTTTTAACAGATGTGACCAGATACAGTGAGATGATCATCAATCCAGCAACGACAAGTTGGTGTCGTCCTGATAACCTCGTGTCCTGTCCACCCTACCACATTAGCCCTAATGGGGAGATAATATACAGAAATGATACTTCTCGGTTCCCATACTCTGCTTATCATCTATATTGTGCTCCTGGAAATGCAAACTATTTAGAGAAACCATATGATATCTGTGATCCATACAGCAATCCACAAGCTCAAGAACTGATACAAATCCTGCCACATCCTGAGTGGGCTGTGCATGGTTATCCTTCAAAACATGGAGAGGGGTGGATTGGTGATGCTAGGAGTTGGGAGCTTGATGTAGGAACATTATCTAATCGGTTATACTTTTACCAGGTAACCTTAATTCTTGCATAATCTAGCTTGTAAATTCTGCAGAAGGGAGTGTCGTTTTCTTCGTGTTGCTTCTGATTTTGTCCAGTGCTTTCACTTAGTAGGTGCCGTGGATCTAACATGGATGATATATTTGGTTACTTGTGTTGCTTATATCCAATGTTTTTGGAGCTTTAACAGTTTTCTACTTTGATTTTGACTCTGTAAAACTAGGAACGTAAGATTCAAGCATAAAAGGTTTTTCATGATCAAAATGGTTCTACTGTACTTAATTTTTCAGAAAGTTATTAAGCTACAAGGATGTGAGACAGCTTAATGCTTGATAACAAGAAAGCATGTATTCAGATTTCCATTTCCTTTGAGCTTTAGAATGCATTTCATTTTGTACTTGTGAGCTAATACGTCAATCCTGCCTTTAGTTTTGAGCTTGCTTCTCTTTATGGGGAGGTCAACTTTGCTTAAAATGACCCCATTCAATAGATGCATACAAAGGCGGAAACAAGATTTGAACTTGTTGGGTTCAACTTTTATATTCTCACCACTGAACCCATTGCACATTTGCAATCACGGGTTTGGAACTAAATATTTGTTGAAGTGTCAGTGCTTTGTTTCACACATACACTTAATATATATACTTATATAAATTAATACACACACTATGTGGAAAGTATATTGGGTTCAGTTGAGCCCTTTTAAATTATATTGCATCTACCTCTATAGATTAAGCAGATATAGACTGCTGCAGTACTCAGGTAGATGGTCTATTCTGGATATACCTAAACGACTAATTCGTAGTGACCTTACTTATACAGGATCCAGGAACCAAACCAGCAAAGCGTGTGTGGTCTTCACTTAATGTTGGTACGGAAATATATGTTAGCAGCCAAGGGGCCACTGCTGAATGGACTGTCAGTGATTTCGATGTATTCATTCCTGAAGATTATGAAGGTGATGTTAGGGCAGTTCTGTAACACCTGTTGTATGTTCCTTGTCCATACAATACAATACAGTACAATGGGTAACACTTTTTTGCTTATTTGTATATATACACACATTTTAAATTTTAATAAGTTTGTTTAGTTTATTTTTCTATCGAGATCATTAATTTGATCAAATGAGTCATGTTATTAGTTTGTGTTATAAAGAGTAAATCAGAAAAGAGAAAATTATGGAACAAGACAAAAATGTCAACATATTTATGGAAAACGAACTATAGTTTAAAAGAATCCCTATAGGTTGTTTTTATAGCAAACTCTCTCTCTCTCCTGCCAATAAGAAGAAATTTATTCGAATGTATTATGTATCAATTGTATTCAATTATATATAGGTGAGAGATTTATATCAATTGTATTCGTAAAACTATGTTTGTATTTTTGTATCTACTATATCTGTATTCATATGAATACAATATGCATTCATCTTCTCTGTCAAATGTATTATGTATCAATTGTATCTAATCAAAGAAATGATGAATACATTTATTTGTATTCATAGCATTTCGAATACAATTGATACAAAATAATTATGCATTAAGGGTGTGTTTTGTATGAAGAAAAATGTTTCCTTGGAAAACAAGTGGTTTCTAACTTATTTTCTCATGTTTGGTTGGTGAGTAGAAAATATATTCTGGAAAATACTTTTTAATGTTTGGTTGGTGAATGAAAAATATTTTTTCAGAAAATATCTTTTATTTTTGGCTTGAGACTAAAAAAATTCTTTAGGAAAATAATTTCTGATCAACCTCGATAATTGATATAGAATGCGATCGTGCTGGGGGGGGGGGGGTTTAGGGGTGGCGTAAAAATGATTTTTTTTTAAATTTGAAATATTTTCCAAAAATAATTTTTCTTTTTGAAATCTTTTTAAAAAGAAAATTTCAAAAAAAATAATTTTTTTTTGAATGGGGAGGGTCGGGTACAGGGTATGGATAGGGTAAGAAAGAAAAATAAAAAATGAAGTAGAGTTTTGGAAACTGTTTTCCTTAATTTTGGAAGGGAAGTCATTTTTCTTAAATTTGAGAAAAATGGTTAATTGGAAAACATTTTCCAAACATTTAAGACAACCAAACATGGGAAAATTAGAAAACATTTTCTCCTCATACCAAGCACACCCTAAATGGACACATAATATTATGCAAAATAAATACAAAATATAATTCTTTCCTCCCTCACCAGATCTCGCTCGCTTCTCTCCTCCTAATTAATATGTATTCATTTTGATACAAATCAGTTTGCATTTGTATTTTTCTCTCCAAAATCCACAAAAAATAATACAAGAATACAAATGCGTAGCAAACCAAAGTGTAGCTGCGAATTATAATTAGTGAAATTGTAGCTATTGAGTCTTATTTAAGGTCAAATGTTTATTGATTTTGAAAATTTCCCATTAGAAAAATGTAGTTTACTAGAAAATAGAATAGAAAATTAGAAAATATCTTAGACCACATAATTCACTATAGGTCCTTAAGGAATTTAATTCTCTCACTACTGTACCTGAGGTTATGGATAACTCTCTCCTAAGATGAAACAAATATATTTGTTAAAAAAGTAATAGTATCTCAAACTTTAATAATTCAGCGAACCCAAAAGTCAACAACTAATAATATGAAAACTTGATATTTAATTATAAGGAAATATATACTATAGAAAAATTAAATTCGATGAAGAAATTGAGGAGAAACTTCACTATTTATAGTTAATGATCTGAGTTGAAGAGCTGCAAACTCACCCGTTCATAACATTTATGGTGCATGTTGAGAAAAAAATGTACGGTTGAAAGGAAAATGTCCTTTTTAAATATATATTTTTCGCAAATTTTAAATTAATTGTGTGAATAATTTAACGAATAAATTATGTGAATTAATTAATAAATAAAGTTTCATGAATTAATATTAATATCAGGAAAAAAATTAATTAATGAGAATGATAAATAAATTTTGTCTAAAAAATTATCGATCAATCACATCATTTGCAAAGTTAGAGAAATCTATAAACAAAAATAAAAAACGAAAATCTTTTTTTTTTGGAAATTCTTCATTCCTGGAAGAGGAAGAAGCAGATCGGACAAAGAGCCAAAGTGAGCGAGCGACAATGGTGTGAGGGAAGATCCTCTTCTAAGCTCTTTAGCAGCTAGAAAGAGTATTTCTTAGTAGACTCACAAAAGATCTCTTCTTCACCACCAATGAGGGAGAAATGAACTTTATGTTCCCTTTATTTTTCAGTTCACACACTCTTTTCTCTTAAAGCTTACCCTTAAAGAAACCTAACAAGTCCCCACATGAATGGAGAATGACTATGTTGTTAAAACATATGCATGAAAAACTGTGTGATTCGTAAGTAAGAATTAATTGTCTTAGGACAAAAAGGTTTTCCCTTTGAACTTTCCATAGTGAACATATATCAGATATGCTCACTCAATCGGTAGATTTGATATTTCTGAACTGTCGAGATTTGGTGACTACCTAGACAACATAAGTTACACAATTAACCCTCTAAGGGGTCGGTTGGTAGGAAGTATTAGGAGAAGTAGTCCATGTATTATGTATGGTATTATTTAGTACTATGTTTGGTAGGAATATAACTAATCCATGGATTAGTTATACACCCTACATGGTATTATAAGATGTGTTACTAAGACCTTCCATTTTGTTATTAGTAATACATAGGATTTAATACCTTGGGATTAATGTATCTAAAGAAAAAATATCCCTCAAATTATTTTAATCATTTTGATTATTTTCTTGATTTTATGTTTTAGATTAGTACTAGTAAATTTATTTAAATAAATTAGCTTACAAATTTTATTATTTAGAGAGAGTTGTTTGTTGCTAAATAAATTCAATACAAATCAATACAATATTTGAATTGTGAGTCGTTTAACATTTACTAATTGAAAGGCAAATAATGATCATGTTCTCATGGGGAATGCCTTATGGCTGGTAAAAATATAATATTTTTTTCGATATAGATGTTGTATTTTAATTATTTCTATTTTGAACAATTATAAAATTGCATACATATAGATGGTTTATTCGATTTTACTATTGTTTACCATCTTTTTTATTTTAAAGTAGACGGTTTATCTTTTTTAAATTGAAATTTATCGTTTTGTGAGTGACCAATTTATTAAGATGAAAATGATTTACCCTCAAATAATTCAAGTGCAAAAATAACAAATATGGCAACAAAATTGTTCTTCTCCTAGCTAGTTAGAAGGCCATAAAAAATAATATTGTCCGACAATTATCTATCTTGACCCGATTACATGAAATAGAAAATCTCATAATAATTGAAGGGTATAATTGGGAAGAAGTTTTTTGTAGAGTTTTAATCCAAACACAAGATGAGGGTGGGAAGCAATGAACCAAACACTTGATAGAAATAAACTATGCATTACTAATCTTTGCACTACTTAGGTAACATCTCGAAAATTAGAAAGTCGAGTTGGAAAGATTAGTAATAAAAAAATTCACTGATGTTGTCATCTACGAGTCCTATCTATTGACAGTAGGATGTCCTATGGGCCGTAGGAAGGAAGTCGTAGACCTGAAGTTGAGTCTTTTGGAATTTTAAGTTTTTGAAGTCTGACTTGCGACTTGACAGGACGAACTGTAGGAATTTGAATGAACCGTAGATGACATTCGTAAGAAGGATTTAGAGGATTGAATTAGGATCTCGGTCTACACAAGAGAACAATAGGTCGTAGAAAGTTTGGTGGAACGTAGATGGGTTTCGTAAAATGTTTCTACACTTAGTGAAATTTTGGACTCAAAGTTGAGGACTATTGATGGGGTCTACAGACCGTAGAAAGGTCGACGACTCGTAAAAGTGTTTCGTGGATTGTTGGACAAAATTATGGGTTTCTGAAGTTGGTTCTACAGTTGACCAGTACGGACCGTAGAAACTTCTATGAACCGTAAGTCCAACCCGTAGGACTGTTCGACATTTATTGAATAAGGATATTTGGGTGGTTTCATATGCATTTAATACCTATACTATGTTGTTTTTACTCTAATTCTAAGTCATATAACTACCCTTCTATTCCGAAATCTACCCAAACCCTCTCATATTTACTATATTTACTATATTTTAGCTTGGTCATGCATATCATATTTTCTATAATGTCCCCTTTATGATCATGTTTCATTATTATGCATATCCCTCATACTTAGTACATTATATGTACTAATGCATACTTGTGCCTAAATTATTTAATAATATAGGATTCGATGCTTTCTCTCCTTCCGCTCGTGGCTAGATACATATTGTTACCTATTGCTTTGGACTGGTGAGTCCTCATACTCCGAGGAGAGACCATGAAGACTTTACTTTTGATGTCATTTACTTTTGAGA